TACCTGAAAAAGTTGACAAGCAAACTCGAAAATCCTATTTCGTGGGGGGGGGGGGGGGCTAATTTTTTTTTTTTAAGGCCAACTACCTTTCACTTACATTTTTTCCCACACAATACTACATATCCTTGATATCATTATACTATGGTAAGAAGTGGGTGGGGCCAACCACCCTTTCAATATACATGTTCAATAGTAAAGGTAATGTTGGGAAAAAAAGTGGGGGGGGGGGGCATTTGGCCCCCCCTGCACCCCCCCTTCCCGTTGCTACATCCCTGTAATGTTTCACATGCATAGATCTGGGGGGGGCATTCAAAATTTGTACAGTAATACGTTAAATAAACTAAACGAACTACCGGTATAATTGACCTTGGACCCTCCACTTAGAAAACGCCGATCAAACATTTATATCTCTTTGTTTTTACAAATAAAATATGTTTTACATGCATAGATCTAGAGAGAGGGGTCCGGACCACCCCTCTGAAATTTGTAAAGTTATTTAATGCACAAACTAACCAACTAAAGGTTATTTAATGTATAAAATAAATCAACTAAAAGGGACCTTAGAACCCCCCCCCCCCTCCCCTACCAGAAATGTGGATTCGTGTTAAGTTGGTATGAAAAATGTCATACACATGAAAGTATGACGCATGAGAACCCCCTCTCTCCAGCCGATATAAATTTTCACATTTAGGAAAGGACTTTACGTATTTTTTTCTTGTCATGAAATTTCTGGGTTGGACCCTCTTGGAAAAAATGTCCTATAGATCCGCGCCTTTTTTTTAAATTTACATAAATATCAATATAAAAATAAAATTTATTCAAATATGTGTGGCAGTTGGCAGTAAGCAGCTAACAGTTGGCAGTAAGCAGTCAGCAGTTGGCAGTAAGCAGTTGGCTGTCGTATATGGCATTCCATAATAGCACGATATTACCAAATTTTCATAAATAATTCAACTAAACTGGATATTGGCTATTCCGTATTTTCTCTGTTTTTCTTATTTTTTTTTTTTTTTAGGATATATTAGTTTTTTTCATATGCTTCCTATATTTAACTTTTTCTTATTTTCACATATATTAAAGGAGTCTTATAAATATACAAAATGACACAGAAACAAAAAGTTTTGATAGTTTATTAAAAGAGAAAAAATACATTTTATGGATTTTTGGTTCAAATCTGTACTTTGATTGGAAGCGTTTAAAACCTAACATAATTCTAGTTTGTTTGAAAAAATCATATTTATTTGATATCTTTTGAAAATTTAGTAAGTTTATTATGAATTTAACTTACATTTGAAAATTTCTTGAAGTCTTTGATTGTATAAAAATTATAATTAAATTCATTGTTCTATTATAATTTTGAGAGGCAGAAAATAAGATATTTTCATAACGCCACCATTCCGCCAAAAATATAGTCCCTGCTAGTTTTCAAACACAGTTAACCAATTCTATTTAAAGTTGTACAATTGAGATGAGGAGAGAAAAATATGGTCTTTTAAATCCCTTACACCTACATATGTAAGACATATAAGCAAATATACTTTGAATGTTTCATCTAGTCAGAGACCAGAGAAGAATCCTACCTTAAGTATGGTAGTTGCGATGATTTTCCAAATCCTGTCAAATGGTGGATTCCTTACCCATCCTGCTGCCACCAGTCAATTTTTGTGTAAATGCACTTATCCTCTAGTTTTTTGATACATGTTTTATAGATATTCATTATGTGATGTAGTTTTGTGGATATCGAGCATATATTTCGTTTCTTGTAATTTTAGTATTATTATACTTTTTGTATTGTATGTGTGATATGTTTGCTGATTACTAATGTTCCTTTACATTCACAAATCTCTCCTTTGCGATACTGTAACTTCACTTGCAAATTTAAAATTTAAATTTTGATATAATTGAACTGTAATCACAATTTAACAATGTTTAATCCATTTTTGTATGAGAAAACTGTGTTATACTGGAACTGTATTTTAAAAAGTTTGTACAAGTTTATGCTTTGATTTGATCAGAATATTATCATATTTTGATCAATAAACTTTTTTCAACACACGTGTGAGTTTGTCTAATTTTGATGTGCAGGTAGGGAAAGAGGAGGCATAAAAGGGTCTTATACATTATGAAACAAGTCAGTCAAAATACGACCAGATAATAGGTTTTATTTTATAGCTAATAAATATTCTCTATATCTTGGCGTTTTATTGAACACTGAGAATGTATTACGTATATGAGTACCTGGTATTTCCGAAACATTCCGAATATGAGCGTTCAATATCGATCTCCCTGCTGTAAACAAAAAAATATCGTCTGGTCAATCCCTCAAAGGCAAATTAAAGAAAGGAAGTGGCAAAAGGTTAGATGTGTTCACTTTCACACAAAAATGAAATTATTTATTAAAAATTTAGTACGTACATGTATTAGTCCCACTAAAACATAAAAAAAACAAATCATAACTTGTGCCAGTATTCACCAATATCAGTTCAATAACCCTATAATACAATACATGTATTTGATGACAAGACCATAGAATAAATGAGATGTTTACTTCAAACGAGACTGTTGATATCCATGAAACAGAATATGAAGATAAACTCTGATTCATGGTTAAGCAAGCTGGGCTTTTTTGTAAAGGTTTGATCATATGACTAGCATACCTAAGAGGTGGGATCATGTGCCATGAAGGAGCGAGCATTTCCTGCAGACCGGTCACACCCGTCGTGTGCTCCCTATCATGATCGGGAAATAACGGAATCGGGAAAAATCCGTTGGCAATTAACAATAAGTAGTCAGCATTTGATAGATCGTATTTGCTGACCAGGTCATTGTATTGATCCTATAACTTACGAAATGATGACTTTAAACGAGACTGCTGATATTTTCAAATCAGATTTCATCAACTCGTTTGTCAATAACTTACCTTGTTTTAGAAATTGTCATATGTAGAGCATGCTATTGAATCAGCTGGGAGATATCAACCCCGTATGCAGGTGCTGAAGGTACATTGCTGCATAAGCAATTAAGGGAAGCTGACGATTAAAAAGTTAAAGTCATCATGTTTATCATAAAGATTGATTGTTAGAATAGTGATAACGTCTTTTTCTAGTTAAATTTTCAAATTTGAAACAATAGTGTCAGATGTGTCAGATATCCCTTATACTCAAGATAAAAAGGATATTTTGCGAATGACAAGGGTGTTTCTTATCCAAATATATTTCTCAAAATAAGGAAGCTACTGATTACCTAACAAAAAATCTTTATATAAAAAAGGATAACCATCTAATGTCAACTTCCCGTATTTTTGTTATATTATTATATCAATATCACCTACACTTGGATTTTATGTTGATTCAATACGAAAGAGCACTGCGTACAAACAATTTTCTGACACAGGGCATTCTTTTGGCAAAAAAGAAGATAAAACAGGAATATATACACTGTCACATGTAGTTTATAGATATAATTTGGCAAAATATGTGGTCAATGTAAGGGCCTTGTCAGCAAATATGATCTATTACTAAGTTGAATGTTGACTTAAATGCTTCATGCAATTGTTAGATCATTGTTTTTGCATTGAAATGTCTTCTAAGTTTTTAGTAGACCTGTTCATAAGTGACATGACAAGTAGTACACGGCGGGTGTGATCGGTCAGCAGGGGATGCTTACTCCTCAGTGTCACAGATCCCACCTGATTTTGAGGTCCATGTCTGCTCTGCTCCCGGTTTTTTTTTCAAGGGATTTCTGAGCATGGTTACCGTTTGTGATATTTTATATACAATACTAGTATTGACCATAATTAAGATCCTCTGACGTTTCGGGAGTCTGTGTTTGCTCTGCTTCAAAATTGTATTGTTTAATGGACTTTTGAGCTTGAATACTGTTCGTTATCTCCATATATTTCATCCAGATATCTGTGACTCGGTTTGGAGAAAATAATGTATATGTGATTTTTTAATACACTTTGCAATATGCTTAGAAAAAACCTTCATTTTCGGCATCCAGACACAAGTACCGATATTGATTTTGGTGTTGATTTCCCCCCTTAATCCAAATTTCGTTTTATTTGTTGAAAATCGTAAACGAGGTTATTCAAATCTGTTTAACATCTACTTATCCGTGATAAGCAATCATCTAAATTCACAATCGTGCAATTTTCTCAATATTGCACGTTTTCTTCTCTCTTTATTTTGAATCCCGTGTAAGTGGAGGATTTAATTAAATCTAGGCATGTCATGATTTGAGCATGACTATTGCTCTGCTACTTTGCAACAGCAATAACGAATTGGACACATCATTTACCCTTTTAATTTATGAAATGATTGTGAATCTGTAAAGAATGTATGTGATGGCAGAAACGATTCAGTTTTTTTCATAAAAAAATATAACTTGGGACAAATTTGAAGGGGTGTGTGTAGCTGAATCCAGATTATATTACATCACGCACTTCTAAAGGATACAGTACGTTTACTGCTTCTTTTTTCAGGTGTTAATATTTTTGTGAAGAATGCAAAATATAACTCCTCCTTAAAAAAAAAATTGCTGAAATTTAAACTTTTTTGATAGGTCACCAACAAAATTACTTTGTAGAAGAAATAACTCTAAATAATTTATACCCAGTAAATATAAAAAACCCAGTGGATTTGATATGAAAGACACCACAATTGAGTGCGTCTTTTACATCTTTTTCGTATATGGATATATATTGTTGGATGTTTTGCTGACTTCAGATGAGAAGGCCAACTAACGATTGAAATTTTTGGTGACGAGTAAACATCTTTTCCACCGTCAACATTCCTTATTTACTAAGTAGTTTTCTTTATCACTTGCATATATACATATACATGTACATAATTTAATACCCATGCTTCGCTTTATAATGCATAAACTGCCCCAAGTTATGTTATTTCGTATAACATAAGTTGAAATAATCTTCATTCCTTAGATGTATAAAAAAGTAAGTTATTGATTGATTTGAAATATATTTATTCTTTCTTGCTATCACAAATAATGTTGATTTTTATTATGAATCAATTGTATGTATATTAAATGTTTTTCAACGTTTCGGAAACAAAAACAGTACAAATAAATCCATCATTAACCATAAAGCATATTTCTCTGTCATGTTCATTTATAAAACTAAATTGAGACAATGGATCTCAACTGATGGAAATATAGTACATTTCTGATATGTATTCACATGTGTTAAAATTGTTGCCATTGATATTAGGCTTTCTCTGCTCCTAGCCCCCTGCTCCCCAGCGAACGTATGTCGATTTTCCGGTGTGATATATTTCGTCACTTCCTACCATGCCTTTAAGGTAAGCGATGAGATCGTTAATGCTGTATCTGTCACCTGTAATGACAAATCAAACAAATTGCTATTCTCTTTGTGTTTTTCTGATGACATAGCTTGAAAGATTTTTATTTTCACGGTCAATTGAACAAACGGGAGAAATCTGGATCCAAAGACCAGACCTGCAGCAAATGCATCAAATATTTGTAACTAACAGGGAATACCAATAAAAGATAAAAGGGAATAGAGAAGAATTGTACGATTTTGTCTTCAGGATATTGGTATGCCATTTTACCATAAATAGATATCGGTCACATTCACTCTAAGTGGACGTATTTTAGAGTGATGATACTTTTATACATGTATATGCACATATATTAGATTTCCATTAAAAGTGCTTGATTACTTTTGCGAATAGGAATACTTTTAAATCAAAGCGTAAATGAATAAATACTATGTTTTTTTAAACATCAATAAACAACCTAAGACAGATAATTCTCTTTCAGAATCACATGGCACATTATAGAGCACGATTTCTTATTGCTGTTCTTCCTGCTAATTGAAGAATAAAGAGAAAAAGAGAGGGGGAATGATCTTATTATACATCTCTGATATTAAGACTCCTGTTTCTATTCAGTTTTATGGGACAATTGAAACCTTAGGGGAAATATAATACAATTGAAATTATGAGTTCTTTAGAAACCGAATCGTTCTTGAATTGTTTTAATTTCTTGGTAGAAAATTGACACTTAATGACAAAAAAAAATGAAAAAAGTTTGAAGGAAATGTATTAAATTGATTAATTATTTTATAATTTGTTTGACAGAGGTAATAAGAACTGCATGCAAACTATTACATAATGTATAAAGGATAGAGAAGCTTAAACAGATAATATATGCATTTTATTAAACAGTAAATATAAGTGGTGTATGATCTTTAGATAAACAATAGCTCATTTAGGAACACATGAAAATATTCTTTAATTCGAAAGAGCAAACTGCCGAATTTATCTAAGGGAAATGAATTCTTTATAACAATTGAATTTCATTATATCGAAAAAAAAACCCAAAACAAAACAGTTTTAAAATAAAAATTTTGTTTGATTTGTCCTACATTTTTTAAACATTGAAAATCATGTAACGAATTTATTGATATTTTAGGCCAATATATGGAATTTGATTAAGCTAATTCAAAAAAGAAAACTAACTATAACAAAAAAAAAACCAAAAAAAAAACACAACAAATTCCATTCAATATTTCGTATTTTATTCCTTTTTGCAGATAAATGAAATCGTTGAAATGAATTCGATTTTCATTAATTATATACATAAATTTCATACTATTGTCATTACGGGTTAAGTTCTTTCAAACAAATTCAAACAGTTTTAAGATTTATGTATTCTTATATATACGAATTTAGTTTGTTTTAACAAATTTGACAATTCGTAACGTCAATCTGATTTATTTTGAATGGGTCTTTTGAATGAGATTCTGAAAAAAAACTTAAATGACCTAAGTAAAACCATATAAGTTCAATATCCTACAAACGTTAATTACCTCTCTTGGCTGTCGTAATGTGTTGAGTTTGGTCTGGATATAGATGCCTGGACTTTGACTCTGGAATTGAACAGTTGAAATAAAATACAAAATTGAAAAAAAAAAGAAAATATATTTTCAAAATATTTTATCAATTATAGTTTGATTTTAATTTCTATCCTATAAATCTATAAAATTTACAATTCTATAGTATTTGTCCAGCCTAAGTTCATTTTACAGAACATATAGTTTAATTTATATAATTTGAGAATTCTTATTTCCTTCCAATACATCTAGTGATACATCATAAATTATTCATTTCTCATTACCAATCAATACATTTTACTTTATTATGTTACTCAAAAGTCGTCAGTGGACATGCAGTCATTCAATGTTTCTTCTAATTTGGCCTACAAATATTCTTATAGCTGGTTTGAACAATTTTAAGGATACAATAATAAATACCGCCAAGTATATTTGTGCAAGCACCATTCAAATGGCCTCTGTTGCCATGGAATCGGAGGAAAGACTAATTGTGATGAAATTTTATGGCTGGCAATAGCACATTTCTATAACTGTACTTCTAAGAAAATTACGGGAACTTTTTTGCTAAATATTATTTCTCAAAATTTGCCCTTACCTTTCAATAAATCTTGTAAAATAGAGTTAGTTTGCTTATCCGATTTGCGTTTATATTCCTTTTCCCAAAAAAAGGCCAATAGTCCGGGTAAAAGCACAAGGACCACGAGGCACTTGATTGCTGTTTGATAATACATTCTCAGTTATAGGATGCTACTGAAGATATACAAAAGCCTGTAACATGGAATAGTTCATATCTGATGCACAAAAATCGTGGTATTGTCTGCACACCAACAATTCTAAAGAAGATTAACTTAGTCGAGAATCATTTTTATATGAAATGTGAACTGATTCTGAACAGTCCGCGCCTACAACACGTTTCAAATAAACTGCGCAGGCTAAGAAAAACATCTATTATTGGATGAATACCTTCATATGACGTGAGAACACATGCTTGATCTTCATTGCAAACTTTATGTCGAAAGGTTAGATGAGAATGCTAATTATTTAAATGTTATTTGTTCAGCAACATTGAGGTTATATGACAAGGTGCCTATCATGACTCGAGATAATAAAAACCCAATTAACACCTCAGGAATATATAAGGAAGTTGCTCGTAGAAAAAACCCGACAAATTACTAGTAATCAAGCTCCAGATATCTACCTGCAATTCTTAAAAACAAAGTACGACCAAAAAAGCTAAAAATTAGGGGGTGAAGCATTGTCAAAAAATGTTTTAAGACCTTTTTCATGTGTTTACAGCTTGTAATTTGAAGATTATCATTTAATGAATTAAGTAGTATGAGGATGTAGAATAGTTATCAAAATCAAATGTTCATTGGAACAACACGTATTGGAGAAGAGCAATCACTGACCCTAAAACATCAAAGGTGGGATCACGTACCATGTAGGAGCAAGCATTCTTTGCGGACTGGTTACATGTGTTCCTTATACTAATTTGACAAGAGGAAAAATCTATAGAATTAATGTCCTAATTATTTAAAAAAACAACATTCGACTTAAGGATAGATATTATTTTGCTAACAAAGTCAATGTATCGACTTGCAAAATGGTGACTTGAAGAGGGACTGTTGATATTATTGTATCAATGTCTTCTTAAAGAATAATCTTTAAGAAGTGCTTCCTCTCGAATAAGTCGAATATCGAATAAGTTGGGAGACAAACACTAAATTTAGACGATATTGGAATATCAATATATTTTAAAGTTCGCGTAGAATTGTTGAAAAAAAATCTATTCAAAGGAATATTAAAAAGTTTGACAAATAAAGGAGCAATTAGTAATTAGCATTCCAATAGTTTAAAGACATGGTAACCTAAGACTACAAATATGTTGAAATTGGGAAACTCCAGCATCTTTTTTTTTATCATCAACCCAAGGAAATTTATGGGTAGAATCGGATATTTTTAAAGTCATTTTGTAGATGAACAATCAAAATATTTGAAAATTAACGAATCCATGAAGAAGCAAGTGTCTACAATATCAAAGAGCCTAGTTTTTTAAAATTATCATTGAAGTCTGGTTGTATAAGATGTAGGAAAATCGGACATTTTGATGTTACTGAATTTGGGAAATTCAATGATTTTATATTTGAATTCGTAATTATTTAGAATTAAGTTAAAAATGTTAATAATAATAATAATCATAATCATAATAATAAGAATGATAAATGTAATACTACTGCTTCTACTACTAGTCTACTACTACTACTAATTTTTATCATTATTATTATTATTATTGTTGTTGTTATTATTGTCACTACTTAGGCAATTAACGAATAGGTGAAAACTGAGGAATGACTACGCCCATTTGTCTGTTTTTCCATGTTTGTTTTGGTATCACTTTTCTTTTGATGAAAAATGTTTTTATCAATTAAACTCAATTGTTTATGAATAAAAATGTTAATAATAATAATAAGCATAATCATAATAATAAGAATGATAAATGTAATACTACTGCTTCTACTACTAGTCTACTACTACTACTAATTTTTATCATTATTATTATTATTATTGTTGTTGTTATTATTGTCACTACTTAGGCAATTAACGAATAGGTGAAAACTGAGGAATGACTACGCCCATTTGTCTGTTTTTCCATGTTTGTTTTGGTATCACTATTCTTTTGATGAAAAATGTTTTTATCAATTAAACTCAATTGTTTATGAATAGTCCTTTTAATCTCGTGAGAGTATTACTTCCTATATTTTTTAAATGCCACTGAAAGGTGATGAGTTCCAATTTTAGATAAATCATCCCCCCAGATTGTGGATTAATGCCAGATAAGACTAGCAAAGTTATCGAATATATCCAGGATTATAATTAATTCTCGATAAAGGATGAGACTCCTGTTATATTCCGCAAGTCAATAAAGGAAGAAGGAAATGTGACAGGTAATACGAGGACTCGTAAATGTTTTTATAGATATAAGATGAAAGACCGTGAAGAGATTAAAAAGACTATCTGCCATAAGTATCACTGATGAAACAATCACTGGCCTTTTAGCATAATTTCATCTTCTTAGATGACATAATATTTACAATTACATAAAGAATCAAAGTACTCAGGAGTACAGAGAGCCGGGCTCATTTACAAAGTATAATTTTGTATATGAATCATATCATATTAGCAGACCTATTTTTATATTCATATGAAGCAGAATCTTTGCAAAATCTTATGCGTTAAAAGAAGAAGACACTTGCTGTGGCCTTCAACTCGACACTTAGATATATCGACGACGTATTGTCAATTAACAATGGTAATTTCCATTCCTACGTCGATACGATATATCCTGGTGAGCTTGAGATGAAAGATTCCACAGAGTTTGACACATCTGTTTCATACTTGGATATTTTACTTGAAAAAGACGTTAATGGTAATCTAACCAAGCTATATGATAAACGTGATGACTTTAACTTTTCTATCGTCAACTTCCCTTACTTATGCAGCAATATACCTTCATCACCTGCATACGGAGTGTATATATCTCAGTTGATTCGATACGCAAGAGCATGCTCTACGTATGAACAATTTCCAAAACGAGGTAAATTATTGACAAGCAAGTTGATGAAACAAGAATATCAGCAGTCTCGTTTAAAGTCATCATTTCGTAAGTGCTATGGTCGATACAATGACCTTGTCAGCAAATACAATTTATCATTGAGTCAAATGCTGACTGACGTTTTTCATACTAATTGTTAGTCCATTATTTATACCCTGAATTGACGACGGATTTTCCCGTTCTTTCCCGATCATGATAAGGAGCACAAGGCGGGTGTGACCGGTCAGCAGAGGATGCACACTCCTCCATGGCACCTGATCCCACCTCTGATGTTTCGGAGGTCCGTGTTTGCTCTGCTCCTATTTTGTATTGTTTTATGGACTTTGATATTGAATACTGTTCGTTATCTCCATATCCTTCATTCATACTGTATTAAGAAATCAGACACAGGAAGAATATGCTACACAAACAATTAAAATCATAAGGGCTCCAGTGACATATAATTATCTTATTTAAAAAAAAAAAACAACTAAAAATTCTTCTGAAAAAATAACTTTAAAATATCAATATTAATGATAAGACAGTTAGTTTAGGAGTCCTAACACCACCGTCCGATTATATCAGGATCAGAGTAAACCTGGCACGGCCGAATGTAAACAAACAGGCCAGTCCGGTTCCCTCTCCTGCGTTTCTTCGTCTTTGTAGAGAACTAGGCTACGATAACACCGACCATCAAAAAACCCTACGCAAATGAACTATGTCGTTCGACTTAGGACTGAAGTTTTCAAAGTCATTACTATTGATGTTTATTTGTATTTTATTTGTATTTTGATAAAACTTTAAACTTAGTTTTAAACGTTTAAAGTTTTATTTTTGTTGCTTTATTTAGCGTTTGTATTATCTCTAAAACGGTTGAGAGTAAGTACTATATTTTTACACGTAACTTTAATTTGGCGACTATGAGTCGGACTTCCTGCATTGAACTGCTCTTTGAACAATAAGTCCGGCTGAAAACCTCCGTCGAAAAAAATAATAGTAATTACAGATTTAAAGATATTTATAAACCAGATAATTAAAGTTTATACTAAGTAGGTAAAATTGGTAACAAATGAATATTTTAATTGTTTTTCTGGGAAATATATGCGTAGGTTTGTGTGAATGTTTCGACTTTTGGCTGGTGCGTCCGGAAACGAAAATTCAACTACAGACAGGGAATGACGCATGTTAATTACATTAATTTTATCTGGATTTTCTAAACTCGTAAAATGTAAATGAAAAAAGGGTCGTTGATTTGATTAAAATAAAATTAAAACTTTAAACTAACGATGTTTTCGCACAAAGAGTTTAGGTCACATTGTTAGAATGCTAGAAAGAGAAATAAAAAATCTTAAGACCGAAAATCCATGGTTTCATTATATTAGCCGAATACACATTCCTTTGCTTCCTTGATGTGAAAACAACTCGGAAAATCGAATCTGAGTTATCCCTTTTAATTCTCCTAATTCTTGCTTAAGGACGTTATAATTCTCAATAAACACACACACACACCCTTTCCCTCCCTCACACCCATATTTCAAAAATGAATTTCCACCTTTTTAAAAAAAAACGTGCTGAGGAATCTGCTTATAAAGTAGAGAAGTTATGTAGTCAGGCAAATTATTTTTTAAAATGCTTGTTCTACATGAGCCATCTTCAAATTATCCTAAAAATAATGTACCACTAAGGAAACAGAGATCAACAATTCCTATTAGTGCTCACAATACTTCCATTTCCTTCAACATTCTGTCCTTATCCATACTCCACTTTTCAAAATCGGTTCTAAATTCATTTCAAATGTCAATACACTCACCAATGCAGTCATCCCCCTTCACCTGTGCAGTCAGTTTAACATCGTCTTTTTCACCCAAAATCTATATCAAAAAGCACCATATCTTCAAAGTACAATTTCAAACTAATGGAATAAAATCCTCATATGGCTGTAAACAAGTGAAACATCAGTTCAAAGAATTGTATAACATACAAAAGAATCAGATGAAGAAGATACGGACAAAGAAGAGCACGTTAGAATGAAGACCAGATAGACATTCATGATAACAAAGACCAGACAGACACTCAGTGTAATGAAGACCAGACAGACACTCAGTGTAATGAAGACCAGATAGACACTCAGTGTAATGAAGACCAGATAGACACTCAGTGTAATGAAGACCAGATAGACACTCAGTGTAATGAAGACCAGATAGACACTCAGTGTAATGAAGACCAGACAGACATTCAGTGTAACAAAGACCAGACAGACACTCAGTGTAATGAAGACCAGATAGACACTCAGTGTATTGAAGACCAG